TAAAATATTCAGAATCCCTGGGAATGAAAATTCCAAAGCAAACACCAAATAGATAATAAAATCAGAATTGCTAGATTGTGTTATTCACTTGAGTTTAGAAGGATGAGAGGGGATCTGATTAAAATGTACAATATTCTAACAGGGCTGGACAGTCTGGATATAGGGAAGATGCTTTCCTTGGTTGGGGCCTTTAGAAACAGGGGTCAGTGTCTCAGGATACAGGGTAGCATGATTAGGACTGAGATGAGAAAATGTCTTCCCTAAAATTAGTGAACCTGAGGAATTAGCTACCACATAAATCTGTGGAGACCAAGTCATAGAATATATTCAGGAAGGAGAAGCAAACTTTCATATTTTAAAGGTATCAAGGGGTATGGGGAGAAAGTAGGAATATGGCATTAAGATAGAGGACCAACCAAGATCATATAGTATAGAAGAACAGGTTCAAAGGGATTAATGGCCTACTCCTGCTCCTAGCTTTTAATAGAACATTATCTAGAGGCAAATAAGAGTGAGGATTTTAAAAGTAATTAATAACTTCAAAGAAAAAGTACTAGAGAAACTCAAGGAGTCGAAAATCTAAAAACCCCCAGGACATGATGGGCAACATTCTAAAAAAGATTGCTGCAGAAATGATAGATGCACTGGTTAGGAGTTTTCAAAATCTGCTAGATTCTAGAATAGTCCCAACATATTGATAGTTTTTCTTAATCAAAAACTGCTATTCAAGCAAGGAAGGAAAAAGAAAGTGGATTTCAGGTCAGTTACCCTGCTGTTACTAGAACAGTGCTAGAAACTATTACGAAAGAAGATTTAACAATTTACTCATAGCACAGTGTGACTAGAACATGTCAAAACAATTTTACAAAAGAGAAATTTGGTTTAACAAATCTGTTCAAGTTTTTTCTGAGGATACAATTGGTAAAATAGATAAAGGAGACCTGTAGATACAGTATACTTGGGAGTTCTCAAAGGCATTATATCAGGTGTCGCACAAAAGTTTAACATACAAGGTAAGGGCTCATGGAGTTAGGAGTGATATATTAGCATGAACACAGGATTGGTTAATTGATAGGGAGCAACAAGTTAGTATAAACAGATAATTTTCACACTGGAGTGCCTCAAGGGTCAGTGTTGGAACATAAGCATTTTATAGTTCTCTTTAAATGAGGAGACAAGTAATGTATCCAAATTTACTAAAGATACAAAAGTAGGTGGGAATGCACATTGAAACAAGAATACAAAAAGATACTGGAAAGAAATGTGGACAGGTTAAGTGAGTGCGCAGCAAGGTGGTAGATGGAGCATCAGGTGAGGAAGTATGAGATTATTTGTTTCGGTCACAGCATTAGACAAGCAGATTTTTTTTTTTTAAAAACTTGGAATGAAACTTGTAAATGTTGACATTTAGAGAGATTTGGGAGAACACAATGTTAGTATGCAGGTACAACAAGCAACTACAAAGTAACTGGGATTGAAGTTGCAAGTGCAAAGGAATTGGAGTCCAGAAATTAAGAAACCTTTATATAAATTGTACCTGGTGTGGCTGAGACCACATCTGAAATAAAGCGTGCATTTTTAGTTTCCAAATTAAGGAAGGATGTAATTGCATTGCAGACTATATAATGAAGACTTATCAGATTGGTCTTTGAGATGAGAAAGTTGAACTCTGATGAGAAATTGAGTAAATTAAAACCAAATTCTCAGCAGTTCAGAAGTACGAGAAGCGATATCATTGAAACATTGAAGACTATGAAGGGTAACTACTGAGACGTTGCTTCTCCTGGCTGTGGAATCTAGAACAAGGGGCATAGTTTCCGGAGAAGGGCTGATCGTTTAGGACTGAGCAACAGAAATGCCCTCATTAAGGACAGCATATCTTTGGAATTTGCTTTAACAGAGGATTATGAATGCTTGATTATTGAATATATTTGAGGCGGAGACAGATTTTGATGTTTCAAGGAATCAAGACATTTGGGGACCAGGTGGTAAAGTGCACCTGAAACCAAAAATCAGCTACAACATTACTGAATAGTGGAGTAGGGTCAACAGGTTGTACTCTTTTCTCTTCGGATCCTATGTTGCATGTGCATATGTTCTAAAATCTGTTGAGCAACAATCACACCTAGGTCTCAGGTTTTGGTCTCAGCATCTGGCCCAGTCAAGGTGCCTCAGAGTCTCATGTGCATCAAATGATTCACAAAAATCAACAAAATGAACCTGCTTTAAAAGTCCTTGAAGGTCGAGATAACCAGGAACTTATAAACTAGTAAAGTATAAAAACTTTGAATTAGCTTAAGAAATGTATTTAAAATAACACAAGAACATAGGAACAACTGGGTGAGCAAACGACATGAATTTTATAAACCACAGAGAAACTGAAGAAATGAATACATAGGAGCAAAACAGAACTAAATTAGACAACAGGAGGTTTCTCTTTATCACAGAGAGTCGTCACTCTTTGGAATGCTACATCAATGCTTGTAATCAGTGGGGATTTTGTGCAGATGTCCAAGAGAGTTTTGGATGAATTTCTCATGGAGGTGAAAGTCAATACATTAAAAAAGGATGGGTAGTTAGGTCATGTGATCTGTGGCAGTGCAGGAGAGCAGAGGATCCATCTTCTAGCAGTAAAGCAAAGGAAGCAAAACCTGCACTATGGATCCCATTTCCTAGTGAGTCATATTGTGCCATGTACTTAAAAACCTACAGGTCAAATATCGACTTCTTCAGTTACATGAAATCCCACAGCAGAAAGATGCAATATTGAGCAGGTGTCATCCTTCAGATAGGACAAAGCCGAGGACAACAATTTTGTAAACTCATTTTTGTTGCCTCTTTGGGCTGAATCTTTCCAAAAATCAGGTGCCTGTCAATTTGTGCAGTTCTCTGTGCAAGCGCTGACGAGTTTTCTCACTCTCTTTCCAAATGCATCTTATTACCTACACACCACACCCCCACGGCACCATGTTTGAGCAAGATGGCAGCACAGTAGGAATCTCCTGCAGGAGCTCCTCTGCTCTGCCCATTCTTTTTTCTTTATTTTCCTTCTTCTCTCCCCTTCGCACTGGTGGTGAATCCTGGAGCAGCGGCAGGCACTGGCAGCAAGCCCCCACAGCTGCAAGCCCCATAGCAGCGTGCGGGCAGCTAGTCCCAGGCAGAGGCCAGCATGAGGGAGGCAGACCTGGAACTTACACTGGAGCAGCTAAGTGTTGGTATGGAGCAGACCAGGAACGACTGTTGGACTGTGGGCTAGGCGCAGGAGGTCAGACCACATGCAGAGGTCCTGCGCTGAGCTGCTACAATGTAATGTCTATTTGAAATTTCCCACCTTAAATGTCAACCCTTTAATGATGTCCTATTTTTAAACTTATTTTCCAGCTCTGTAATGTAACGTAGTGTAATTACTTTTATTCATCTGCTGTATCCAAGAATTGTATCAAGGTACTTGTATCTAACATGTCACCATAAGAAGGCAGACATTGTAAAAGCTTTTCACTGTATTCCTACAATGGAGTACACGTGACAATAAAAGGATACTCTTCTATTCTATATTGTATTGTGGTGACAGGAAGTTGCACACAGTTACTGGCCATGGAACTCATCCTGAGACATCGGTGATTGATGAAGATCTGGACGCCTAATCAGCAAGCTGAAGTCAGCAGATTACCACTCGACGTCCATTTCAGACAGAAAAAAACCCACTGTAATCAGTAATACTTGAAGATGAACAACTGGTCATTCTGGACCTCCATTTTGAGGTATACAAGTCAGAGCATGTGTCATTCACAAGTTTTACCGTTTTTCCTTCTGGGAGGTCAGGAATTGCCACCATCGATTTTCAGTGCATGGATGGGGGAATGGGAAACTGCATACTAATGATGCAAGATGACATAATAATGAGGATGATAATTCATGCTAATATCGAGCGGCCTATTCATGCCGCCCACTGCTTACAACATGAATCTAATCTCTCCATTCAACATTAAAAAATGGGACTTATTGCTCTCAATGACAGGAAGCTCTTTACTGGAGATCCTGCATGATTCTCCCAAGCTTCTTGCCAATGCCAATATCATTCAAGGACTGAGAAGATTCCATTGTTGTGGTTTCTTTTCCCCACCTCTAGCTGGGTGTTACATGCTGCTAGTCAGCAGATGCATGGGAGTTGGGAACGGGCATGGTGTAGGATGTGAACATGACTTAATGGGGTGGGCTTGAAGGACTGAAGGTATTAACTGATATTTCCAATCCGCTCATTTCTGTATGTTTGAATTTCGCAATAAATTTTAAAATAAGCTGTTCTATGCATTGTGGCTTCATAATGTGAAACAATTCAGGAGCTCAGATTATGTTTTTAGGATATCCAGATGATTAGGTCCTCTAAAACTGGAATGAGTGATCTGCTCCAGGAGTTTCGCGGTGATGAATGACCATGCCTACAGTGACCTTCAAAAGGTCTGTTGCAGGTACAGAGCTTCACAGCAATGTAGACTTGATAAACAGGGACTTGATAAACAATGCTAAAGTTAAAGTTAAAGTTAATTATAAAGTGTAATTAGTGCTGGGTTTTCGGTGCTACCCCATCACCTTTTCTGGAAATCAAAGCAGTATTCCTTATTAATATGACTGATTAAATAAAAATAATCCTGTAAACAGATAACATGGTGTATTTGTCCAATCATATAATAGCAGGTGCCATACAAGAATTTGGATGATTGCAATACACAGATTCCCATCTAATATCTGTAACCTTATCATTGGTTCAAAATCTGTAATAATTCCACTGCAGTACTTCAAATGGACAAGAGAACTTGTATCTCAAATTGAAATTTTGCCAGCAGCACTGTTTAATGTAGACTTTCCAAGTTCTAAGCTTTCAAATGTATGTTAACAGTATAAAGTTACATTACATTCCAAATTTTTACTATATTTTCAAACGTGCCCACTGCTAATTAGAATAGAATTTTTAAAAACACAAGAATTACTGCCTCTCTTACCTTTTTGGAACACACGAACCTCTGTTTTTCCAAATAGTGACTTAGCCTTTTCATAGTCGTTTATAACTACATCATAATCACCCTAAAACAAACATAAAGCAAGATATCATACAGAATTCTAGAAAACAGGAAATATCCTTAATATGCTCTTAAGTGTTAACAATCATGTACCTTTTGAATGTTTCTTTCAATATTAAGAGGGAGATTAAAGAGAAATTTAAAACGCTGAAGAACATTTAGGGCATTTCTTGTGGAATCTGCTTTGTCCTTCCGCCCCAAAACTTCTTGGAACAGTGTATCAGCTGTGTTACTTGCTCCTGGAAAGAAACAGAACACAAAGCTGTTAATGCAATCCAGGACACCACTACTTTCACAAGAACAACTCGTTGATGTCAACAGTTTGACTCATCAAAAAATTAGTTTCATAGCAAATGTATTCTAAAATTGTTAATGCACATTGTTAATTCAATAAAATCTAGATCATTAAATTGAAGAATATTTGCTAGCACATGCACCATAACTTCAGCCTCAGTGCAGAACACAGATACATTTGCAACTTAAACGCAGTCTAAAACTGCAATTTCAACCTATCGTCAGATGGGCTGTAATCAGCCTCTCTGCCAAGGAAACCTCACCGTGCTTCACTTCAAAAGTTACTAATGCTTTAACTTTAAAAGGCCACCTATGAAGTTTAGTATTGTGAAGTCAAAGCATCTCACATTTATGCTAAATGTTCAGCGCAAATGAAATTATAGTCGTCTTATATGAGACAGTTAAAATGTAGGGAGAAACAGTGCAATGTCTGAAAATAAGTAAATTCAAATAATAGGAAGCCATTAGAAAAAAAACACTTGCACTCATCAATAAATGCTTGGACTTGTTTTTCTTCCTATAAGAGAGGAGATTTTAATTTTAAAGGACTCTTGTTCAATGTGCTTTAATTATTATTTTCATTTTTTTTAAAACAGTTGATTTTTCTTTCCCACTGTGTATTGGCATTCTGATAAGCATTTTCATACATGCACAGACATGTATTCCTCCTCAAATATGAAAACAATCAGAAATTCAGTTTTAAAAGCGTAAAATAGTTTGGTCACTGTTCATGCATGCACTTCCAAAATACTTTAAATATTCTTCCTCAACAGTCTAGCAGAGGAACTTTCACCATTTAATAAATGTGTACTTTGCTTCCCTTTAACAAAAAAAAGTTAAAATTTGGCAAAAACAGTATAAAATAGAATTGTTGCTTAAAGTTTCCAAAAAAAGGGTTTGCATTATTTGGTCTGGTGACTATACTTTAAGCAATCATTTTTAAAAAAAGCACATCGATCACACTGGGTGGCTTGCACGCCATTTTCTGCAGTCAGCTCCTTGGGTGGCCCACAGAAATTAAATGTAGTCTGCTAAATACCCACTTTCACATTTAGTTCCAATGTGTACACTGAGTATGAGACTTCCATGTATCAGGATAAGCATTTCAGTGCATTTACTTCTCCATTTAAAAAAAGAGCTACTTCTCTGTAACGTTTCTCATTTTGTACCAATTGCAATGTTATCCACTTTAAAGAAACTAGCTCACTTATTCAAGTTTATTTACTTAAGTTAAAGGAAAAGTACTTGTTTATTTGCTGTACATTATCATGATTCATTTCCCTTCCAGCAACTTTTAAGAATGTTAAAGAGATATGTCAAATACAGTACTCATATTTCAGTGACAAAATAGAAAACCAACGACCGATCCCTTCATAAAACTTTGCTACATTTTCATTTCAGATTTCCTTCACCTTAATCTAGATGATACTGAATAAGTAATAAAAGGCTCTCACAAGGCTCTGATCTAGGTTGGAAAAAGCTACTGACAACGTATGCTTTACAATTACTAGTGAGAGATTATTTTGATGCTCCACTTCTAGAACAGTGTACAATTAACAAATCATGGCCAGTTAAAAATGTGATTTCACTGTCACATTTTGGCTATTAAACTGATTATTAAATAGCATATTTAATTCTTTCAAAATAAGGTTAGTTGGACTGCACTAATTTCAGCTGTGCTTTAGTTGCAGAAATAGAAACTATTTCTAATTTCTCATAACATCACTGTATCAAACAGATGTATGCTTCACTTTTAGGAGCTCAGGTGAAAAAAGAAACAAGTTTAGCTTTATCAGAGGCTTTTACCTAATGCTGCTGGATAGTTTCAAGAGATCAAATTATTCAAATACATGTTGGTGGAAAACATACATTTACTGTGTAAAATAAATCGTGCACCCACCATTCCATCTCCTACCCCCAACATTTTAAGATAGCAATTGAAGTGAATTCTTCCATACAATAAATGTCAGTTTTATTCATTTTTATTCCTATATTAAATCATAAAAGTCACACTTTACAGTAAAAGTTCAGGACAGAGAATATTCATGTATGCAAATATGAAGAAGCACGTCTCACTTGGTGTGGAAGTATATGTCAGGTACAAAGAATCACTGCCTATCTTTCTAAATTGGATGTGTACATCAATTTAATTAATGTTCATTACCTTATCAAAACTTGAATACATTTCTAAATACCAAAATTACAGGTTACAATTACAAGCCCAATTACAAGCCACTTAAGCAAAGACCCAGTTAAAATGAATAACGATTTCCATACATATAGATATCATTGGGAAAGTACAACTTACTATTGAGAACATTCTCCAGTCTCTGCGTCATAGATCCTTCCACTTTTTCCGTCCCATCCACTTCCAGTTTTTGATGAATTGCTGGAATAAAATGTACAGTTAGCTCAATGGGCAATCATTTACTTCAAGGTATAAAAAAATGTACAAATTTAAACATCACTTTTTTTCCCACAACCACTTTAACATTACTTCACCACTTTTGTTTCCTGGACTTAACACAAAAATAACTTCCAATTTCCCCTAGATAACTAACCAAGGCTAAGTAATTCTAAAAAACTGTAGAATAACTGATCTAACATTTAGCCTTCTTTTATTACAGGAATGTTCTGTCTGATAAATTCCTTGGAAATTCTTAGCAAAATGTATTATAAATAAATCTAAAGCATATTACAATTCGTAGTATTTATCTAAATCAGTGATGAATAAAAAGAACAAACAAATGTCAACAAAATAATATTTCTCAGCTAAATGTCAAAAACGTAAAAATAAGTAATAAAATAAAAATTACAATTACTTATTGAAAATTAATAGAATTAGTAATCTTTTGGATCTATGATTACTCAATCAGGTAATGTATTTTGCAAACCTTAACAGTGCTCATTGGTTTAACAGATCCTAGGAAATTTACTCACATGGAAGTGTCAAGATTTTGCAGATGGCTGGTGTTACTCTTATCACGTCAAATCAGAAACTCTATCCCATTCAAGTCAGTTTGTTTTTAGCATTTTCTTTAAGCATTCACGCCCAAAACATTCACCAGAAATAGGTTAGATCAAGCAGTAATAAACATTATAATTTATTTTAGGTTTCTCAGAAGGCCAAATCTTGACCACAGTTGGTATTATGAGAAACCATCAAATATGCGCTACTTGGACTGCACTTTATAGAACATTAATGGAAAACAAAAGGACAATTAGTCATCTTGATCTCCAGGTATTATACAGAAAGCAATTATAAAAACAAATACTTTTCACCAGCAACAACTGATTTCTATGTAGGTTAAAGGTAAACCTAATCTGATTGTTAGTTACTTTGTTGGAGCAATCTAGTCCTTCAAAAGTGAATTCAAGTAAGTACATTTCAGCACAGAGATATGATTGCTGGCAGGAGCAAACCTGCTGAAGCAATAACTATCTGGGTGGTCATACCTGTAACAAGATTGGAGATATTTTCACTAGCTGAAGAGAAAAATACCTTTAGCTACAAGAAAACAACTTATCATAATCATGTATGTCTTATTATTTAAACAAAGAAAGAGTCAGAAATCATGCGCTCTATGCTTTAACTGCAATATCATTTGGGTGCTCAGTATCCCAAAATCCTACTTAGAGAGGCTAATGTGGCAAATGTAGGAAGTCGCCATGCAGTTTACTATCTGAAGCTCAAGAAACACATTCACCAGCAGTAATTTTATTTGTTGTTTGTTCTCGGATTTAACTTTATTTGAATGGCATTTTTGACAACTCCTATGTGCTGTTCATTCGGTTTAAAAATTTGATTTGTGTCTCCCTCAGTTGAATATAGTGATTGCATCTGATATACCTGTAGTAATTTCCCCTTATCATGCCTTCTATTGTGAAGACAAGTCACCGGGTGAAAGCTTTAAATATTGAAAACAAACTACCTTAACGAAAAGAATCATATGGGCAAGAAAGATTCTCATCTTTATTTCACTTTAAAACAGGATTAGAGAGAACTATTTTTAAACAATAAGAAATTAATCGAATGGCAGATAAACATTTTTGCTGAAATTTGCAGATATTAAATTAACCCTGTACTGACATTCTCCTATAAAAGGGACTTTTTTCTTCATAGGTTATTACTTAAAAAAACAATAGTAGTATAAGCATTGATCTTGTCAGGGAAATGTCAAATCATGCTAAATTTTGAAAACTACATTTTACACTCTTACAAAAACAATAATTTCCCAAATTTGGTAGGAAATTGTCATCTTAGTCTCCCTCCATTTAAATAGCAAATGTAGTTAAAATATCAAACAAAAAACAGAAATTGCTGGAAAGGTTGAGTTCCGAGGAAGGGTCACATTACCCGAAATGTTTACTCTGATTTCGCTTCACAGATGCTGCCAGACCTGCTGAGCTTTACCAGCAACTTCTGTTTTTGTTTGATTTACAGCATCCACAGTTTCTTCAGTTTTTATGCAGTTAAAATATGAACTGTATTCAACAACAGAATTTCAGTTCACAAACTTTGTTTTGTACTTGGTTTTAGATGAAGATTTAAAATGCTTTTCCTGCCCTAACTTTTCTTTAAGTTTCAAGATCAGACACATTGAGGAAATGAATACCTAATGATTACATTATGAACCTTCAAGTAAAGCTTTCTTTAAACATTCTGAACACAAAATTTTATTCCAGCTTGTTTGCAGAATGTGGCCCATGTCCCAGTCTGCAGAGTAATTAAATCCACCAGAGTTCTAGTGACCAGCAAACACAGCCTGTTTCACTTCGTAATATTATAACACTAACAAAGAAATTAAATCATCAAAATACAACCATACAATTCCTAAAAGTAATTGAGGGCTGTTTTGGGCAATTGTGAAATAAATGTTTCTGACCTACTCAGCTTGCCCAGAATTAACGTGATACAAGTTTGCAAGTTCAGCCTGAGGCCCTTTCCTCTCCCTCACCAACAGTATTCTCAAAATACTCACTAATTTATATAACTGTCAACCTTTAACAGACAGTCTGCATCATCAATAGAGAGGCAAAGACCTCCAACTATGCTTTTAAGCTTTTAACAAACACTTACTCCTTTGTAAAAAAGTACAAAAACAGTTGCCATAAAATTTAGAAATTTCCACTCCACTCCTTGTTTTGATCTTCCTTCACTTTGCCTAATTACATTCATACATATTTGCTCCATTTCAAACTTTATTTAGTCCATTAGAAGTAGTTAGGCTGCATTTTTTTTTACACACACACTTAATTTTGGACAAGGTGTTAATGGTTTTAATGTCACTTTTAACTTCCTCTGTAACTTTAGCAGGTAACCAATAAACGAGATGAAATAGAGTCTTAGTGAATGAGTGGATTACCCATGACATTTCTCACAAAGTCACAAAATGTTTGTTTTGTTATTCCGTAGGTCCACTAAGATTCCTTCGGCTACCACCACCAACACAGATATCTTCCACAATACAAGTTATCTCCTCTTTGTTGTTCTATTACTTTTCATTCAACAAAATCTGCCTCCTTCTTTAACACAAACCTTTCTTGTACCCATATCAACAGGATTTGTGATAATTGATAGGAAACAAATGCACAAGCATCTAATTATACAAAATCGAAGCTATGTTAGACTAATTGAAGTTACAGGTACAAGCATTGCAGCATATCAATTTACATAAATTCTCCCTTATCTGAAAAAAGATTTTCTCCAATTTTTACACAAAACAAAATATGGCAAATGTTGGAATTATTTAGCAGGTCTGGCAGCTTCAATGGGAAGAGACACGATTAGTGTCTCGTTTCTACGACCCTCCATCATAACACAGGTTGGCCATTAAGAATCATAGAGTTGTAGAGTATTTACAGCATAGGCCCCTCAGCCCATCATTTGCACATGGGTTATCAAACATCCATCTATCCTAATTACATTTTGCAGAACTTGGACTATGTTCTGGGATACAAGATGAACTCTCATAATGAATGAATAAGAAATGGGCAGAGGGGAAAAAACAACAACTACTTGTTAGGGAAATTATGCCGAAATGAGGGAGAAATTACTGTGTTGAGTACCTCTGAGAACCACTGCAGTTCTAATCCACAAATTTGATTCAAAAACTCAATGCCAAGCTGTGAAATTAGCACCCCAGGACATACAATATAATTGGAGAAGACAGCTCAGAAATTAGGCTGAGATGCATAAAATGTATCTACAGGCAGAACAATGAAAAATTTTAGTTAATGCAAACAAGCATAACATACTACTAGGAAGGAAAAATTAAGTAACATTCATATTTCATGACAAATGTTGAATAGCTAAAGATCAAGTTAAGACCTAGAAATCTTATTAGATTTGACGAGATAAAATGTCCAATGAATGATGAATAAAGTTACTAAAACATTGGACTATACAGCTAAAGGCTTAGAACCCAGGTCTAAAGTCCCGATCAAACTATATAGTGATCTTGTAGACATGTACATGAATAATTTGTCTGTTGATATCCAAGGATATTATTCAAAAGTTATCTGTAGTAAAAAAACAGAAAAAACTATTACAGTCTTAATTACAAGGAAAGACTGCCAAAATGGAGCTTGTAGGCCTCAGAATAGGATGTCTGAGGATTCTGGTCGTGCAGAGGTAGTTACAGTGGTTCTTACCTCTGAGTCAGAAAGCATAAGTTTACATCTCATCTGCCCCAGACATATGTCATAGCCTGTCTAAACAAATAGATTAAAATATCTAGGATGTCTGTGGAGCAAGCTTTCAAAAGGTATAAAAAGGTCAAATCAAGAAAGCAAACTTTGACTATTACTTTAAATTAAACTGCAAAATTGTCGCAGATGTCAAATACTTAAAAAGTTAAACTCAGGACCAATAAGAGATTATTCTTCTTCGTGCAGAGTGATCAACATACTGAACGAACTTACAAAAGGAATAATGAAGCAGAACAAATTTGTTTCAGCAATTAGGGAATTTGGTGGGCCAAGTGGCTTTTTTCACCAGTAGTTAACTTATGAACACAGAGAGGTACATTAAAAGTTTGTAGTAAAGCCAAATGTTGGTCTATGTACAGAAGCAATAGTGAATGTAATGAAAGCTACTTTCTCTAGCATTTTTTGCTTCTCAACAAGCTGGCCGTTAAAACATTATAGCACCCTTTCACAAATAACCACATTTTAATCCTTCTTTCTTTTTTAACTGTGCTATTTCCATTAATTAAACAGGTACAAAATCAGTGCCAATTCCTTACTCTTCCAAGGTCTAAAAGCTCAGATTTCGCCAGTTCATCCTTGCCAAGTATACGGACTAGGATAGCCCCAAATAGTTGATTCAACAAGGAGTGGGAAAGCACAGGCAAGCACAAAACCATCCAAAGGAATATACATGATCTT